TTTTATTACGTACGTATCAGTTTCTAAATGTTGATAAATGGCAGAAAATATTAGAAATTATACATTATATTGTATTGTATTATTAAGTATTAATTTTATACTACTTATATTTTTTATTTTATGGTTTGTTTTTGAGTTTCTGAGTCTGGATAAAGGACAGGAACTATCAGATACATTTCTAAATGTGACCACACATGAAGGTTTGTTTTGAGAACCGTCTGTAGCAGAAGATGATGATGCTGACCTGACAGGAGAGTCCAGCGTATCCCAGCGCACACTCACACGCCTCCACCAGCCGCGCCTCGTCTCCGCCCTGACGAGCCTCATCCGCCTCCAGAGCCGTGTCCAGAGAGATATTACAGATCCTACAGAGAGGAGATCAGATCAGCACGGACTCTGCTAACTCGCTTAATTCACGTCTCATTCTGAGTGATTCATCAGTGATGTTATTCTGAACGAACACGACTGCATAATCTTTCATCCCAATGTGCTGTTATGAGTTATTATCATGTGTGACCCTGCAGCACAAAAGCAGTCTGAAGTCGCTGGGGGATATTTGTAGCAATAGCCAACAATACATTGTATGGGTCAAAATTATCCATTTTTCTTTTATGCCAAAAATCATTAGGATATTAAGTAAAGATCATGTTCCATGAAGATATTTAGTAAATGTCCTACCATAAATATATCAAAACTTAATTTTTGATTAGTAATATGCATTGCTAAGAACTTCATTTGGACAACTTTAAAGATGATTTTCTCAATATTTAGATTTTTTTGCACCCTCAGATTCCAGATTTTCAAATATTGTCCTCTCCTAACAAACCATACATCAATGGAAAGATTATTTATTCAGCTTTCAGATGATGTATAAATCTCAATTTCGAAATATTGACCCTTGTGACTGGTTTTGTGCTCCAGGGTCACATATTTATCACTATATTTACACAATACTGTAAGGAATTCCCTTTATTATTATTGTATTTTTTATTTATAATTCTTTTTAAAAATAATTTTTATTATTCACTCATTTTAGTTCATATTCATACTTACATATTCATCACTATGGTTTTACATGATAATCCAATGAATTCCATTTATTTTTGTTAATTTGTTATTCTGAATTATTTTTGTAATTTTTATTATTATTTATTCATATTAATTGTAACATTAACCACAATGGCATTTGCAGTACATGATAAGGAATTCTAATTATTATTAGTTATTTGTATTATTATATTTCATATAGACATTATTCTAAAGAAGAAACATCTAAATGTAATAACATCCTATTAATCAATATCATAACTCACTTTTCACGATCCTGATGGATAAAAGTCTGGCTCTACATTAAATCTGACTGAATACATCAGATCACTCTAAAATATGCCACATTATGCAAGCTGAATGTTTAATGTGAGAGTTGCTGTGAATGGTTCAGATCCACACACACACACACACACACGCGCTCACACGCGCACGCGCACACACACTCACACGCACACGCATACGCACACTCTCA